GTATAAATTTTTGGCGTCGGGGTCTTAAAACAGTCATTTGTAGTAGAAAGGGCTGAATTTTCATCCTGCGCAGTCTGAAATTGACGCTTTTTTTTCTGATAAAAAGGGATGACTGCGTTTCAGGTGCTATGGGCCCTGAATTGCTAGAGCAGTAGTAAATAGACTTTTGCTCAGCTAAGCGAACGGCCGTCTAGTGTTGAGTTTAAAATCAGCCTGCACTCCGCTGGTAGCTGCAGGATGCGACATGTTTCCCTGGTTCCGGCCTGGACCGAAGCCCGGGGCACCCGAGCCGAGCCGCTCCGGCGGCGGCCAGCCGAGCCAGGCACACCGAGCCGAGCCGGGGGGTTCGGAAAATCACCGCGGACCGGCGTGCCGGCCGAAGCCTACCTGCGCGGGGCGGGGGGGGAGGAGGGGGGCCCCTTTAATCCCTCGGCCACTCGGGATTTCTGGACAGAATGCGTCAGTTTTAGCTTGTCTCCAGAGCAGTGCACATCGCTCCGAATACAAGTCCGCGTCGCGTGTCATCTTTCTTGTGACGCTCCGTCGTGAAGAAAAGTTTTATGTGTTACATCGGCGCTCAGCACAGTGTGTACAGTGCCGTTTTGCCTTCGCCTTTCCGTGCTCCAAAATTGCTTCGGGGTGCGTGCAGTCACCACTCTGAAGCATCCGAAATCCGGGGCAAGCAGGCTGTGAAAGTGGCGTAGCCTTATACTGATATTGCGTCTTCCAAACTAAAGGGAGGGGTGATGAGCGAGTGGGTGGCTTTTTGGGAAATTTGTCACTCCTCTTTCATCCTCGTCCCCAAAGTATTTTCATCGTGCCGAAAAATTTTCCAAAAAGTGTCCCTCTGGACCCAAACATGCTGTTTTCCCAGTGTTTACAGCTGCTCTTCTGGAGTCTTACATTCGAGGACTAGTTTTTTTTTGGGGAAGTCTCTCAGAAAAATATCTTTCTATTTAAAGTTTTGCGCAACTTTGGGTGCTACATTTAACAACAAGAGCTTTTTACAACTGCTCTATTTAGTGCATGCATTCCATGTTTCTCAGCAAATTTTAAAAAATGCATCCCCAAAAAATTTTAAACATCCTGACAAAAGTGGTAATTTTATTACCTGGGCGGCTTAGAATTCAAACCCGCGAGGTGAAAAATTTAGACTGCCATTAGTCCGAAAAATTTAGACTACCTGGTAGTCGTAAAATTCAAGTACTTTCTAGTCTGAAAATTCAGACGACAGGTGGTCCAAAAATTCAGAGTGTCCGGGGGTCTGAAAATTCAGACCACGGGTTTCAAAATTTACTTCATCCTAAAAGTCTGAAAATTTCGACTTTTTTTTTTAAAGTGATTTTAGTTCTAGAAAGTTTCTGTCTGAGGCTCCCCAGGTACGAATCCCATCGAAGCACCGTTTTTGGCCTTGAAGCGTGACCCCTTTACAATGTAACCACGTGGGAAAGTTTTTTTAAATTTTTCCAGTATAGTTAGGGACGTATTTTTTGCGTAAAAGGCATTTGGGGGACGTAACAGACCCGTATAAAAACAAGAATTTAAGTATTTTAGCAATAAATGCTTGAATTTTTTCTCTAATCATCTGCTGCCTTATTCCAATTTTTTTACACAGCTCGAAATGCATTTAAAGCGAGTTATTCTATTTTTCATCAAAATGAAAAAAGTGGGTTAGGATTGGCATAGCCGATCAGTTTGCGGAGGCGGTCAACGACAGCTTGTAATGTGTTTTTTAAAGTCTGCAGGACACCCGAAGAACAAATGGTGGAGGAGATAACATTCCCGACGACGTTTCATTTAATGTGGAGGTTTCAAACTGTTAAAAAAAGGCTGAAATTCAGACCAATTTTTTCAGACCTAGTGGTCTGAATCTGAAATTCAACTTTTTCAGAATTTTCAGACAGTTGGTTTTAAATTTTACACCTCGTGGTCTGAAAAGAGTTTCGGACTCAAGAGTCTGAATATTTGGATGGCGCGGTATGAATTTTCGGCGTGGGGGTCTTAAAACAGTCATTTGTAGTAGAAGGTCTGAATTTTCATCCTGCGCAGTCTGAAATTGACGCTTTATTTTCTGAAAAAAGGCATGACTGCGTTTCAGGTGCTATGGACCCTGAATTGCTAAGCAGTAGTAAATAAACTTTTGCTCAGCCAAGCGAACGGCCGTCTAGTGTTGAGTTTAAAATCAGCCTGCCTCCGCTGGTAGCTGCAGGATGCGACATTTTTGCCCTGGTTCCGGCCTGGACCGAAGCCCGGGTCACCCGAGCCGAGCCGCTCCGGCGGCGGCCAGCCGAGCCACACCCGAGCCGAGCCGGGGCGTTCGGAAAATCACCGCTGACCGGCGTGCCGGCCGAAGCCTACCTGCGGGGGGCGGGGGGAGGGAGGGGGCCCTTAATCCCTTGGCCACTCGGATTTCTGGACAGAATGCGTCAGTTTTAGCTTGTCTCCAGACAGTGCACATCGCATGCGAATACAAGTCCGCGTCGCGTGTCATTTTCTTGTGACGCTCCGTCGTGAAGCAACGTTTTATGTGTTACATCGGCGCTCAGCACAGTGTGTACAGTGCCGTTTTGCCTTCGCCTTTCCGTGCCCCAAAAATTGCTTAGGGGTGCGTGCAGTCACCACTCTAAAGCATCTGAAATCCGCGGCCAGCAGGCTGTGAAAGTGGCGTAGCCTTTTACTGATATTGCGTTTTCCCAAAACTAAAGGGACGGGTGATGAGCGAGTGGGGGCGTTTTGGAAATTTGTCACTCCTCTTTCATCCTCGTCCCCAAAGTATTTTCATCGTGCCGAAAAAGTTCCCACAAAGTGTGCGTCTGGATCCAACATGCTGCTTTCTAGTGTTTACAGCTGCACGTCTGGAGTCTTACATTCGAGGACTATTTTTTTTTTTTGGGAAGCTCTCTCAGCAAAATATCATATCTAGTTTAAGTTTTGCGCAATTTTGGGGTGCTACATTTAAAAACAAGAGCTTTTTTCAACTGCTCTATTTAGTGCATGCATTCCATGTTTCTCAGCAATTTAAAACATGCATCTCCAAAAATGATAACATCCTGAAAAAAGTGGTAATTTTATTACCTTGGCGGCTTAGAATTGAAACCCCGAGGTAAAAAATTCAGACTGCCATTAGTCCGAAATTCAGACTACCGGGTAGTCGTAAAATCAAAGTACATGCTAGTCTAAAAATTCAGATGACAGGTGGCCCAAAAAATTTAGAGTGTCCGGGGTCTGAAAATTCAACCACGGGTTTCAAAATTGACTTCATCCAAAAAAGTCTGAAAATTTCGACTTTTTTTTAACAGTGTATGAAAAGCCCCATGGCTGTTACAAATCCCCCCCTGCGGGGGCGTTTCGAAACAGCATGCAAGGGTTAAAAAACGTCTTAGATTTAAAAGATTACGGACTCCAATTGATCCAATGGAGCTGCCAGTCTAGATAAGGGCCAGACTGCTTAACTGGCACAAGTTTTACACCGATATGCAGAATGTTCTTATTTTGTATAGCGAGTTCCGAAATCTGTTACAAATCGCCCCATACTCCCTTAACTTTGAAATGGAAAATTTCCGGAGCGGTTTGACGGGAAAAAACTGAGATTGTGATTTTTTGGGTTCAGGACTTTTCTCAGTAAAATAAGACCAGATTCAAAAAAGGGCGGAGAACATTTACTGCAAAATCCCAAATTTCGGACTATTTATGTAATTCTTTCGAGAAAAAGTGAGTTTTCACCTATATTAATTATTTCAGGTCAAACTGATGGCACGATCGTGTTCCCCGTTCAATTTTCAAGCTGGAACTAGAATCTGAAACCAATCGGACTAAAAGTCCCTGGAAAATAAGAAATACCCAAAATTAGTGTAAAAATACCCCAAAAACTTCACTGCAAATCCAAGTGCAAATCCCAAAACCACGCTTGCAAGTGTCGACCATTTGTCCACGCTTTGAAGTGTCAACCACTCACTGTCCGACACCTGCAAGTGTCGACCACAGAATGTCCGACGGCTGAAGTGTGGGGTCACAATAGGAAATTCAGTGTAATTTGCCGTAGGACAAACAGTGTCCTACACATGCAGGCGTCGGACACAGTGTGGTGGACCTTCTAGGCGTCGGACACAAATGGTCGACACTTGCAAGCGTAGGACAAACTGGTCTACGCTTTAAAGTGTCGCCTGTCCTACACTTTGGGTTTTCAGTGTTAAAAACCCCATATCTCCCAGAGGAAATTTTTTTCAGGTCTGAAATTTTGGCCATGAACTCCCACCATGGGGGACTACTAACCAACAAAAAAACAGCGAAATCCAAGGGGGGCGTTGTAAGGCCCTGCTTTCTTAGATAAACCTTCTCAGTTGCCTGCATCAGGGGGCGTGCACATGGGATGTATGCACTAGTAAGTGCATGCTTGGCAGGCATGCGCTAGCTAGAGCGTGCTTAAGGCAGACTCCGTTAGAGCATAAAATGTACGCTCTTCGATTTGAAGAGTACCTACAAAAAAAAAAAGGGGGCATCCAAATCAGAGATGAATCTCTAAGGGGTTTGTGGTTTGGCATGAAATCACCCTGATAGTGATTGCGAACAGAACTCGAAACGGCGATGGCTTTCCGGCGGTCTTGACTGTACGGCGTACGCTGTAAGATTAGGTTGACGCACCCAGCCGAAGCCAAAGAAACAGTCACATTTACTCTTATAAGAGAAGGTGTATTTGTACGGTTCGCTCTCATAACACAAAGGGGGCTTCTTCAGCACAGCAAAACAAAAGAGGAAATACAAAGCCTTTCGCAACAAATCAGGGCCTACTACATACAAGTATAATTAGTCAACAAAAGAGTGTATCGTTACTATTTTATATTAACATTAAAATCAGGTTAAACCAAAGATTACTAACAGTTTACATTGAGTACTTAGATTGCTCAATAGCTGCTTAAACATAACATTAAAATCAGTTCAAACTAAAGAAAACAGTTAACATTGAGAAAACTTTGATTGCTCAATAGCTGCTTTGAAGCGCATCACGCCTTCTGCTCTTGAACGAACACGTCAAACTGGAGTTTGACGCTGCTGTGCCACCGCACCACGAATCGGCAGCCGACCGTCTCCGGGGCCGGGACGATCTCTCCGGACAGGATCTTGCCCACTGCCAGCCGGGTGGCTGCCCGCTGCGGCTGGGCGGGCGGGGCGGGGACGGGCTCAGCGCCCTCCGGGGCCGCAGCGTCCTCGTCCGCAGCCAGCGCCCCTTGCGCCACGGCGGTGTCGCAGCCGCCACCGCGCAGACGCAGTACCAGGTGAATAGTCGACTGATGCCCAACGCCGTAGTCGAGGAGAGTGCAGCCCTCCACGTTCATTTCACGGCCGCTCCAAATGAGTCTCTGTTGATCGGGCGGAATACCTTCTGAGGCCTGGACCGCCTCCTTCACCATCTGCAACATGCCACGGTGTGCTGCGTGAGAAGCCAGTGTGTATTTGGCCAAGCATGCGTTTAAATGCGTACTTGCAAGCATGCACTTGTAAGTGTGTACTTAGTAGACAGTTAGGTTTGCAGTGCGAGTGCAAATATCGACCGGGGTTTGTTGCTGAGATAAGGGAGAGCTATCGCCTACTGAACGGACACATTTTGACAGGTTCACGTGGACATGGCTCTATGCTTCCGATTTCCCAGTTTATAACCAATACGAATTGCTGAGGAAACCCCCGGGAGCGAGATCACTACATGTCCCAAGGTCAGACTCGCCACTCCAGAGGCGACACTTAAAAGTGTCTTCAAAGTGTTTTGATCAGACCTGAAAGTCTCGCCAAAATTTGGTCAGACAAAAAAGTCTCACCACAAAACGGCGAGACTTGTGTGTCTAGCCGTTTTGAGGCGACTTTTTTGTCTGACCAAATTTTGACGCGACTTTTTGGTCTGACCTAAACTTGGTGAAACTTAAGGGGGCACACCAGTGAAAATGCAGAGGTTTCGAAAAACGATCATTCTGAGAAAAGTAACGTACGTATTCGATTCATACATTATTTGTGGCTCAAAATTATATCAAAGAAAAGGAAAATCAGTATGGGAGTGCGGAGTGGCGATGGCAAGACGGAGCGCCAGTGTACTTCATTTTTCTGCGACCCTTCTTCACTCCTGCCACGATGCCGCCTCTCTGGATTGAGCCTCGATCACGGGATTTGAAAATTTATCAACAGGACACATGTAGCTATGGTCTGAACCACGGGCATGCAAAAAGAATGATTTTGAATTTGTTTTTTCAAAAGGCAAAAATAGAAACAAATTTTTTAACCATTTTTTTCGCGCTTTCATGGCTGCAGCTCACGTCCTATTTATGGGATGGCCATTTGCGAGGTTCAGACCATAGACGCAAGTTAAACGAACATTTTGCCGCAAAACGCATTAAATTATCTCAATTTTTACGCCCGTGAGAGTGGCACAAAGGTACAAAAAGTGTGTTTTGAGAAAAAGCCCTTTTAGTAGAAACATAGATTTGACGTGTTTTTTGGGGATTATAAATGCGCCTTTTGACGTATTTAAGTTCAGTATGCGCCAAAATGTCCCTCCCGTTAACTGCGTTTCGGTGGTTCAAGGGTTTTGTAATTGAACTTCAAGTGAAAAACCTGAACGTTAACAATTGGTCTCAAATATCCAAAAATAATTACCTTTATAGCAACTTTAAAAATGTGCGCAAGCCAAAGTTATTGGAATTTTGGGGTAAGGTTTGCGGCATTCGACTCGGGATGGATAGCAAAAAATAAGATAAAATATAAAAGCAGGCAAAATTTTGACGATTTTCACAGGTGTGCCCCCTTAAATGTCTCGCCAAAATTTGACGCGAAGTCGTTCCATCCAATTTGCAGTGACCTGACGACGAACCTCGGTTTGGTTAAGGTACAAAACCCTCCAGGTGTTTTTGAAGGTTTAAGATTACAACATATTGGTGAACCTTTTGGGCACACCCTAATTAACTCCGTGCACTGTGAGAAAAAGCTACCGAAAATTTTTATCAACAACTTGTGATGATGATTCTTCGTAGCCCTCTCATCAATATTCTCCGTAGGACCTTAGAGTCTTCTCCGTACGACAGTAGTTTTCTCCACACGGGAAAAACGGTTCCTGGTTTTCCCAGGAACTCCCTGGAAATCGCCTATGTCTCCACCATGGGCTTCCTGGGAAAACCAGGGACCGTTTTTACCGTGCATAGACAGTTTTATAGTCCTGCGTAGAACACTGTAAGGTCCAACGGAGTAAACTGTGAGATCGTACGGCAAATACAGCAAGGTCCTGAGGAGAATATTGATAAGAGGGCTACGGAGAATGTAGGCAAAAATTGTCAGAATTATCCGTAGCAGCTGGAAGGCTTTCTAGAACATTTCAGGTTATTTTTTTTTTAACTTACTTGAATGGTGTAAGATTCCCAGCAGTTCCGCGTAATAATCTTGCCAGTAAGTGTCTTGACGTAAATCTCTATCGCCAAGTCACGGGGTGGCATCCTGTGCAAACATAGGAGATGAATTTCTCAAAAACATGTTTGTAACTATAAATATCTCCTCAACCATCTGGCCCAAAATTTCCAGGTTTTAAATTATCCTTTGATGGAAATGCTCAATTGTTTTGAGCGGATCCTTCCAGAGTAAAAGAGGCGGGGGGAAGCATTGTTCATTGAAATGAACCGACAAATGGGTCCCCAAATGCATGCTTGCAAACTTCAAAATGCATGCTTGCAAACTTCAAAATGCATGCTTCGCAAGTACGAAGAAAAGCGTTAGTCATACGATGAAAAACTACCTTCGTATGACGCTTGACGTAATTTTCATCGTAATATGCGAAGTTTCTTCGCAAGTTATGGATAGTGTAAAAAAGCAGCGAAGGACGTACCTCTTCCGCATGGACAGCCACACCCCACAGCCAGTCTGGCTGCAGTCTGCAACCAGGCGATCACCAGCGACCTCCTCGTCTCGAAGGAACAGCGAGAAGTTGGGATTGACGCGGTACTGGTCCAGGACCGCTCCGCCGATCTTGAAGGCGGCCCGTTCGCAAAGCTCCTCCACCGTGTCCTCCGGGTTGAAGCCCACCAGCACCGAGGTGGATGGACAAGCGGAGCCCGCCGGCACGTCGATGAGCGCTTGCTTGCAGCCGCGCTCCCGCATCTCGAGGGAGTGGAGGCAGGCCAGCCCGTGGTCCGACAGTGTGCGGTCCAGCCGCAGCTCCTCGCCGTCCCGGTACAGGCCGTGCACGTGGTCGATGTGGCCCGGCACCTTGTCCAGCACGGCCTGCAGCTTGTCGGCGGACTGCGCCACCACCAGCGTCTGGCCCTGCCCGTGCCGCACCTGCAGCCACACCGTGGGCCCCGCCCGCTGCTCGCCGCACACGTGCAGGGTGGCCGGAAACAGCCCCCGCTGGGCGTACCACGCGCAGGGCCGCACGGGGCTCGGCCAATCACCGCACAGCTGCTGCTCGGCGCGCGGGATGCCCAGCTCACGCTCCAGGATGGCCTGTGAACACGGTGAGAAGGAGCACCACATCATGACAACAGCCAACCGCCACTCAAGGTGCACTCCTTATGCTGTGAGGCATTTGTTTCAAGAAGTCCGATTTTGGTACACGACGACCAATGACAATTTCCATTTTTTGACAAACACCACTTAATTCTGCTCAAAGTAAGGTGTATTCGAGGCAAGATCAAGCGAGGAACACGAATTGGGCCCCCGTTGGTTGAAGCGACACTAAATTAAATATACGTCCACCTACGTCCATGTTTCGCCCGAGTGTTGAAGTGTCAGAGTTGGCGTGAAATTACATCGCTCACACTACATGTTCATGTAGAATTTTGTACGTGCCACTTCCACGATTTTGTGCATGCGGGGAATTTGCGTAATATTATGCGTGAAAATGCATAAATTCATGCAAATTCACGCACAATTTTAAGCACGACGGCACACAAGTTTAAAATTATGCATCACCACGTACAAAATTGTACATAATCATTTAGTGTGCTCATTGAATCTGAACCGTGCATGTTTCGGCCCCAAAATTTTGAGGCCTTCCTTGGACTCATATGGACTACCATTGGCCAAAAATCAGTCAGGACTTCTAAAAGAAGAAATTTTCCTATTCAGACTTATGATGCAGGGTTTATACAAAAAAAATGAGATTTCCCCTGGCGCATGCGCCACTTGGCGTGTACTTGGCAAGTGCACGCCAACCTGGAGTGTACATGCCAGGTATGCTCCAGGTTGGAGAGTACATGCCAGGAATGCTCCAGGTTAGAGTGTACATGCATGTTGGCTCCAGGTGGAGTGTACTATTTACACACTCGAGTTCGTAGAGCAGCCGACTGGCGACCAACAGCCCAATGGGCTGGCGCTGTCTCGCTCACTCCACCAGAAGGCACCCTGCCGACCGCCGACCACCCTGCTTGGCAGACAGCCGAGCCAACCAAGATGCCTCAAAAGCCCCCACCCCCGCCCCATAACCTGCTTCTACTCACCTTGAGCGAGTCGTCGGTGGCGTCTGCAGGCACGGCCAGCATGGCCAGGCGGGTGGGCGTGATGACGCGGAGAGGCACCACGCGGCACGGCTCGGCGTCCAGCAGGCGCCACTTGAAGCCCTCCAGCAGCGCGCCGCTCTCCTCCGGCCACAGCCCCAGGCGCCACTTGGTGCGCCGCACGCCCTGCAGGTCGGCGGCCAGCTCGCCCACGGCGCGGCCCCGCGCGTCCCGCAGCGCCTCCACCAGCATGCTGCGGCCGCCAGTACTTTCGTCGCGCTGCACCGTCATGCTGCAACGGGCCACCCTCCGTCAACGGTCTTCAATTTCGAAAAACTCCACTCCTTGGCTACTCAGAACATCACTCTCAGACTCATATTAAGGGGAGGTTCTGGTGAAAATCTTGCCATTTTCCGAATGGATTCCACTATCATAATTTGTTCGGAATGCAAAATCATTCTTCGAGGAGACTAAAATTAGACTTTTGAAAGCACATCCCAGACTCTGAACCCAGTCAAAGAGTCTTTTTGAGCCTATTTCGGCTGTATCTTAAAAAATCTCCTTGCGCATACTATTTTGTCGTAAAAGGTAGACCTTGACATTTATTACTTCTTCGATTCATTTTCAAAAGATTCCGGCATGCATAGCTCAAAACTTCCATTATACTAATAATTATTAGCTTTTTCAGCTGAAAAGTCCCTAAAATTTGTCTATTTTGTACATTTTAGATCAATTATAGTGAAATGCTTGATTAGAAAGCTTGCGAATAAAAATGCAATTGACATTTTGAGATGTGCATGCCGGCATTTTTAAAAAATGAATTGAAGAAGTGAAAAATGTCTAAGCCAACCTTTTACGACAAAATAGTATGCGCAAGAAGATTTTTAAAGTTATAGCCTAAATGGGAGAAAAATGCTCTGCGACTGGGTTCAGGGCATAGAATGTGCCTCCCCAATGAAAAATTTTAATAAATACTTTTTAACACATCAAATTTTTAACAAATTTTCACAGTGGGCCCTATTTTGGAGAAAATGGCATTTTCACCAGAACCTCCCCTTAACTTTTCTCTACCCGTTGTCGACTTTTTGACCTGTGCTAACGTACTTTGTTAAGCAGCAATAATGTGTAGTATTTCCATCTTAATAGCAGCTTGACATTAAGTCAATATAACGGAACGTAATCTTACATAGATATGGAGGGAATAGTACTTTTTATTGGTGAGTAAAATACTCTTAAACAAAGGACAAAAAGTCAATAACAGTCTGAGAGTGGCACAATATTTTTCCAGTGAGGTAAGTTCCTGCCACACGACCGGCGAGCGCCTGGCAGGCACGCAACACCTCAGCGCGTCAAGTACAAAGTACGTAACCATCACTTTCACCTAGGTACTTTAACCTTGGGAGTGCACAACCCTGCCATAGACTGCCGCGATGCCGGACCAAGGCGACGCATGGAGACCAGGTCATTGGCCAGCAACTCCCTACCTGCGGCCGTGGGGCAGCACGTTGGCCTTGTTGACGACGTTGCGGCGACAGGAGCCCTCGTGATTCCTGCTGCAGTAGCGGTCGAAGTAGGTGAAGTCCTCGCAGCACTCGTCCCACGCGTCGCGCGGCCCCATCTCGGCGCGCTCCAGCCTGACGAAGAGCAGCTCCAGACAAAAAAAAACACTTGGCCGGGGACCCCCTCAGATCTGGCTCCCTCCCGGTTTTTTTGGTTCAACTAGTGAATACGAATTGCCGAAACACAAATTGGGCCGGATCCAACACCGATTGGCTTTTTGGCACGGGTCAAAAACCCCCAAAAATGGCTGTTTTTGAGGGTTTGGGGCTTTTTGGGATCTCGGAACCTGCCGGCTAAAAAATCTACCAATATGGTTTTTCCGAAAGAAAAAAGTGCGCTCTTTCGAATGCCGGGTCGCGCGAGGCTCTACGACGTCGGGTTTAGACGCTACGGGCTCTCAAAGTTGCTCAATTTCACTATTTTCACTAAAAATGACTAAAACAGATTTCTTTCTCTCCGGAAGTCGATTGTGACTCTTCCTATTGGCAATCTTCACCATGCAAGGTATTTTTATACCTCAGAGACATGGTTTGGGCAATGAAGTTACGTTTTTCTACCGTGGGGAAAGCCCACACACTACATAGCGTATGTGTCGGGCCCGAAATGGCATACGATCATGTGGTCTAGCCCTTAATGGTAATGGTAACAGTGGGTAGGCAGCCCCTTGCTCAGGCAAGTCGGAGAGAGGCTAGGAGGAGAGGGAGGGAGGGTCCGTGGGCGTTGTGAGGGAGTGAGGTACCCCCCACCCCCTCCCCCACCCCTTGCAAAAAGGAAAATATATGGAAAACACTGCAACTTGGATGGAAAGACTTTGCGCCAAAACATGGCGAGACTTTAATGTCTTGCCTCTGGAGTGGCGAGAAGTCTGATCTTTGGATTTGTAATGAATATATGAATCCATATATGTTTCATGCATTGCCAATGTAATTGTATCTTGCTCAATATATTGCAAATTATCTTGCGCAATACGTGGTTTATATATGGGGTTATATCTTGGTGCCCGTTAATAAATAATGCATATATTTCCACATATAATATTATCTTCGCGAAATGTATGTTTCAATATCTGACACGGTGCCCGTCGTGGGATGGGGTAAGGTTAGGAGGACAGACTTTTCAAGTAACTTTTCTTACTTGGCACTCGATGTTGAAAGGCGGCTCTCAACATGATTTTACGTTGTAAAATATATTGACACCATATATTGAGCAGCGGCATGGTTCTTTTCTATGCGTTTAAGTCTCCAAGAAATTTTGAGGAATCCTGTTAAACAAGTTAACTGGAACAGTTCGGAAATTTTAAACGTCTTTTTTGGGTGTAGCGCGAAAAGTTCTCGCATGGCACAGGTGATGGATAGAATATCTGATAAAGAGACGATTAATCGATCATCGTTAAACAATCGGTCAATACTTCGATTACCGAACCACTAATCGGGGGTTTGAAATGATCGCACGATTAACAAAATAATCGCGATTATTTTCGATTAGTCGATTAATCGCCCAGGCCTAGGCGCTGAGTGCTGCGCATTCGATTCCTACTTTTTAGCGTCGCGGTGTTCGTACCACGTGACCCTGGATGGCAGGGGAGATTACCGATGGGATGTTAGAAGAAATTACAATCTTACAGGCCTACAGGGTCAAAAAGCTTAAAAAATTGGAAGGGGAAAAAATGCTTAACTTTGAAAGTGTGCCATTTCTAAACGGTTCGTCGGAAAAATATGAGGTTGTGCTCATTGGATTCCTAGGCTCATTTGCTAAAGTTAAGACCACTGGGAAAGCCTTTCACGGGAATTTTTGACCGTTTCCCCAGGATTTGGGACTTTTTTGGCAACTTCTGGCAGTTTTTTCCCCAATATCTCCTGAAGTATGAGTCCTAGCTCAATTCCGGACCCAGAGTCGAATTCCTTGGCTCATTTCACGTCTGAAAAACCTTCTCTCAGCTTCCTAGTGCAAATACTGTAGAAAAAGTAGAAAATACCCAAATTCAAGTTAAAAAAAAATCTCAAATTTAGAAAAACAGCTGCAGATTGGTCAATAAATTTTTGCCGGACCTGCTACTCTGGCTTTTAGCATCTTTCTAGGGTGCTACCAAAAATGAGCCAAATCGGAGAGGTGAAATCCAACCCGGTCACCTCTTTAATATTCTTGCTCAATAGAGCCCACCCCGACGAGGGGTGAATGTCTCAGCGTTCTGGTGTACACATGAGCACATGAGTACGGGTGAGTACACCTTACTTAGCTCACAAATTTCGCATTTGTAAACGTTTAAAGGCTTTATTTAGCGTTTTAAACGACACTTAACGCCAAATCAAGCGAAAAAGTACTGAATTTCACCCTTATTAAACTTGTGAGTACACTGAGTACGGGCAAATTTGTACACATGAGTACACTAGTGATTCACCCCTCGCACCCCGATCCCACCTCTGCCTTCCCTGACGCGGCAGGCCCGCCCAACTTGCCTGAGCAAGGGGCTGCCTACCCACTAGGCGCTATGTGCGCTATGTAGTGTGTGGGCTTTCCCCACGGTAGAAAAACGTAACTTCATTGCCCAAACCATGTCTCTGAGGTATAAAAATACCTTGCATGGTGAAGATTGCCAATAGGAAGAGTCACAATCGACTTCCGGAGAGAAAGAAATCTGTTTTAGTCATTTTTAGTGAAAATAGTGAAATTGAGCAACTTTGAGAGCCCGTAGCGCCTAAACCCGACGTCGTAGAGCCTCGCGCGACCCGGCATTCGAAAGAGCGCACTTTTTTCTTTCGGAAAAACCATATTGGTAGATTTTTTAGCCGGCAGGTTCCGAGATCCCAAAAAGCCCCAAACCCTCAAAAACAGCCATTTTTGGGGGTTTTTGACCCGTGCCAAAAAGCCAATCGGTGTTGGATCCGGCCCAATTTGTGTTTCGGCAATTCGTATTCACTAGTTGAACCAAAAAAACCGGGAGGGAGCCAGATCTGAGGGGGTCCCCGGCCAAGTGTTTTTTTTTGTCTGGAGCTGCTCTTTGGGTTATCCTAAAGATGTATAGAAGAGATTTTAGAGACGGAATTTTCAATTTCAACTTCTGTCCTGAAATATGAATTTTCAAATTTTAACATTTAAAAAAAGGGAATATTTTGCCTTTTATTCAAACTTTTAGGTGTTTGAAAGAAAAAAGTAGGGCTGATGTAAAGATTCCGTCACTAAAATTAGTCAACAAGTCATCAAGGAATAGAGTCCATGCAAGACGACTCATGTAGGTGTCAACCAGGAACGCAGAAAGTCTTTCTCCGACAAAATTTTTTGTCGACTGAGCAAAGCTGTGAAGTTGAGCATATAAGCCAACGACAACCGATCTCAATGTTATTTCATTCTAAATGATGTAGGAACTACCCACATAGTTTAAAGGTGTTCAAGCTGTTGCATCTGAAAATTTCTATGATCTATAAAACTTTAAAAATACTATTTTTGGCAGTTTTGGCTATTTTTTCACCAGGGCCCCCTCTTAAATAAATTATCGGACCCAATTCCTAGCAGTGAAGGAGAAAATTCAGTGGAAACTGGAAACAACTCAAATACTCAACCTCAGGCAACACGCTC